CTAAAGGAATAATATATTAGTCCATTGTGTATTTATGCATATTTTAAATATTTTTATTAATGTCAACCATTTATTTAAACAGTAACTTATTAAAATAGTTCTACTTAATAGTTTTAGAGCTTTATCCAATTAAAAATAATGTTTTTATATTATATTTTTATTTATATTTATAGTATAATAATGTTTTAGTTTATTGTTAATTTATACACATTTAAATCATTTTATCAATACAGTAATTTGTCAAACATATATAAAAATAGTTTTTAGAATATAGTTTTGCTTAAAGTTAGAACACTTAAAAGTTTTTATTTCTCTTTAATAAATAGTTTTTTTCACACATTATATTCTGTAAATAATACCCCCCTGCCCCCCCAATATGACATATTTATATTTATGTGTGTACATGTATAGGATTCTCTAAAATATTAAATTTATATTTATTATATATGCCTAGTTTAATAATACATTGGTTTATTGTCCGTTTGTGCAAATGTAAATAATTATATTCATTATAATAAATTAGATCAAGCATTTAGTTATAAAAGCATGTGTTTTATGTACAGTTATAATGCTTAATATTTTTGGCTTTTTTTCCCAATAAATAGTTCTTGCTTTAAATATATTTTAATACATTTTGTTCTGTAAATAATCCCTTTTTTCAGTTTTTAATTGTGTAAATGAACAGTGTTTTATCAGTTCTGTACCAATTCTGCTGTCTGATTCAGTGGCTGCTTATTGAATTTCCCCGAGCATTTTCAGGTCAAAGCTTTCTTTTCCTCTCCAGGCTTTTCATCAATCCCTCACAAAAAAAAAGTCTTGCCTTTTTACCCTGTCATAATCTGCCAAGATCTCGCTTCTCCTGTTATCTGTCCCTCTAGAAGATTACCGTAAGGCAACTTTCAGTCAGCTCCATTATAATAAAAAAAAAGAAGAAAGAAAGAAGCAGTTTAATTTAGCAGAATCTCAGCAGCATCAAAGTTAGTCTCTAGCGGCTGTGAGGAAGAAGAAGAAAAAAAAATCTGTAGAAAGAATAAATGAAGGGCGGAATATCAAAGTATTTGATTCTCAGCTCACTGCCTGTGTTGAAATGACTCCGATTCCGGATAAGGGCTTGCTAATTCCATTTGTTAGCATGATATTTAGTTTTTTTTTTTATCAGTTGCTTTACTCTAAGATTCCTACGTGTCTGTGTGATGTATAATGAAGCCGGAGTGATGGGTGGATCTCTGCTGGGTTTAATCTGCAGTCAGGTTTAGACATGCACACACAAATACAGGCCCTCCATTAACATCAGCAGCCTTGGAATATATGAGCAAACACTAAAAAGAAAAATACTGGGTTTCACATAGCCCAGTCACGATATCTATTTTTCATTCATTCATTCATTCATTCATTCATTCATTCATTCATTCATTCATTCATTCATTCATTCATTCATTTTCTTGTCGGCTTAGTTCCTTTATTAATAAAGGGTCGACACAGCGGAGTGAACCGCCAACTTATGACAATTTTTTCACAGCTATCTTTTGCTCATTGTGGAACGGGTAGTGGTCGAAGGTTAGGACCACGACAACCCAACCGTCGGGCACAGAAACTGCGAAAAAATTATTTATTGATTTTATTTATTTATTTATTTGTTTTTTGCCTAAAAAATTATGAAGAGCAGTGTGCTTTCATTGAACAATTGCACGCAGCAACGTTGCATTAAAATAAAATAAAATTATTCATTCATGGCAATAAATTAGATGTCAGATTGTAGTTTTTGAGATATTCCAATTCAGACTTTACAAAAATTATGAAAAAACTTTTTCAAAAGAGACAAAAAACACTGAAAATGCCCTTTTCCCCCATCAGGGCAATATTTAAAGGGACAGTTGTTCTGTTAATTTACTCACCTGTAGGCCATTGAAGATGTAGATGACATTTTGTTCTTCGGTAAAATAAAATAAAAAAATAATAATGAGGGTTTTTAGCTCAGTCCTTGGTTTTTGCTGATTTCTATAATGCAAGGTAATGGTTACCAGTTTATAAATTTTTTATTATTATTTTTTTATTAAACACATGCAAGCATGTTTAAAATAATTCCTGTGGCTTCTAATGATAAACTGAGGTCTTGTGAAGAGGATTGATCAGTCTGTGCAAGATATTGAATAGTATTTACAATATTATTAGCTTTAATCCATAGCTTGATCAAACAGTTCATACGGTATGTCCATGAGCTTCCGGTCACTATACTCCATACGATAATGGAGCTAATAATATTTTACATAATGTTCAGAATCCTAAACCGACAGAGCGTTTCATTTCATAAGACTTCAGTTTGTCGTCATGAGCCTCAGGTATTGATTAAGACTTGTTTGTATATGTTTAATTTTATTCTGAAAAATGGGTAACCATTGACTTCCATTATATGAATCAGCATGGGCCACGGATTGGGCTTTAAAAGTTTTTTGTAATTATTGCCCTGATGGAGGAAATGGGCATTTTTAGTGGTCTTGCCATTTTCTTACAGTATTTCCATCTTCCATTTTGCAAAGCTTTTAGCTCAACAACCTTTTAGCTCCAAATCACAGCGTGTTCTTTGGTCTCAACCAATTGTGATGAATGAATAAGTGAGTTTGGCCTTTGTGCTCCTCATATTTTTACCTCTTTGATGTAGAATGGCTCGGCTGAACAATTTACTTTTCCAGGTAGACCAGGTGTACAAAAAATGATGTAAAAATATCAAGGGGAATGTAGAGTTGAAGTCAAAGTGATTAGCCATCCTTTGAAATTGTATTTCTTTTAAAAATATTTCCCAAGTCTTGCTTAACGGAGACGTAATAGTTTTAATTACTCATTTCTATTTTCTCATTTAT